TCTCTCTCTCTCTCTCTCTCGTCACTTGCTCTTGGAAAAGCCAGCTGTAAGTCATCAGCAGATCTATGGAGAGATCCTGGTGAACAGGAACTGAAGCCTGTGACCAGCATGTGAGAAAGCTTGCAAGCAGATGCTCCAGACCTAGTCAATACCTTGACCACCACCTCATGAGAGGCCCTGAGCTAAAACCACCCCTATAAGCTGCTCTTGGACTTCTAGCCCTCAGAAACTGTAAGATGATGAATGTTTTTGCTTTAAGCTACTGAGTTTTGAGGTAATTTTTATGCAGCAGTAGTGACCAACACATCCCCCTGTCCCCAAAACCAACTCATACCTTTACTGGGGAGCTCCCATCATTCAGAAGCCCCTTTTCCCCTTATACTGGGGTGATGTAGAGCAGCTGTGTTCAGATATTTCCGGCTGCTGCTTTCTGGCTGTGGTACATTGGGCAAGTTGCTTCTGTGCCTGAGTTTCCACATCTGTCAAACGATGATAGAAAGGAAGATTTTGAAGATTAAATCAGGGAATAGATGTTAGAGTACCTGGCCCAATGCTGGACACTTGATGGGGGCCTGATAAATCTGACCTCCCTTCGGCCCCCTCTGACTTTCTAGTTTGTGACTCCTTTGCATGCTCCTAAGCCCCTGCCTGGAGCGGCTCGAACTAGGACCGGGGACTTTAGGGGATCCCCATCCTCTTCCCACCACTGGAGACAGAGGAGGAGGAGACCTGCCCTGCACCAGGGATTTTCTCCCAGTACTGGAGAGAGAGGCCACTCGTCCACGGGAGGCAGGGTGTCCTATTGGAAAGGTCTCCTAGCACAGCAGGGGCTGGTGCTGCATTGGAACCTTGGGCTCCAGCCCAGCTACCCCTCCACTTCCTTTGAGGGTGAAAGGAGTCTGCTTTGCCACTCACTAGTCCCTATCATATTAAGAAAACTGCAGTTTCCAAGGCTTTGCCCATTTCTTTTGCTTTCACCAGCTTTCTTCCCCCATCTCCCTTTAAAATTTTAAAAAATTTATTCTAATCACACACACAAAAAAATGAAAAACAACAACAGCCAACATTTCCTGAGAACCTACCAGCCAAGGTTCTAAGACTGTTGTTACATGTCTCACAACCACTTTATGAGGCAGGTTCCTGTATTAGCCCCATTTTACAGCTGAGAAAACCAAGGCATAAGGGTTAAGTAAGTTGCCCAAAGTCACAAAGAGGCAAAAAGAAGCTAATGAAGCTCAGGCTTCAAGGTCAGGACCTCACTTACACAGGCCATTTCAAAATTCTGGTCTTAATTTTGTATTCAGATTTAGTAGTTCTTTCCTGAGAGAGTCCCACAAAAACTGGATGCAGCTTCAGAGGTAACAGATGCAGTGTGCTGTTTTCTTGCATATAGGTTAAAAATACATTTACATCTATAAACGCACATACACGGAAATACATTCCCCTCTCCCTTATTAAAAATACTCGTGGCCCTGCCTTATGGATCGCTGGTACTCGGTGTTTTTTTTTCTTTCTTTCTTTTTTTAAACAGAAAGTCTCGACTGTCTTTCTACTTTTCTAACTGTCACGGAGTGTGAGCCTCAGACGCTCAAGTTTATTCATCTTCCCAGAGTTGAGCCCTCTTCTCCCCTCCCAAACGCGTTTGCGGGCCTCTAGGATTCCTCCCTGCCTCCCCCGCGTATCCTCCCTTCGCCCCGCTCCTCATTCCGGTTTCCTCTCTCACAGCGCCCCCTTCCCCGGCTATCCTCGCCCCCATCCCAGGCTTGGGTATTTCTCCCTTTCTGCCTCGGTACTTCACCGTCCACCTCCACGGGCCCCTTTCTAGCCCTCGCATCCAGCCTGCCAAACTCGCTACCCTCATTCACAGTTCCCCCCTCGAGTCTTTCCGCCCCCCACCCCCGCTCCAGCTCCCCACCCGGCCCTGCCACTCCGCCGCGCGGCAGGAGCGCACAGCCGGCGGGCTACGACGCGCGCTGACAGTGTAATGAATGGCTTCAGCGGTAATTAGCGACCCGGCGGCTAATCACGATGTATATTTACATTTTAAGTGCTGCAGAGGGAGCTGGAAAGGGGAGGGAAGCGGCGGGAGGGGATGCGGGCCTTTTCCATGGTCTCCCTTCACTGACTGGGGAGCGAAGTGAATCGAGTCTTCCTACAGCTGGTGGCAGTGGAGGGGGATGGGGGTGCGGCGCCTTCCAGGGCCCACCCAGACAGACACAGAACAGCCTCATCCTCACCCTGCTTAAACCCGTAGCTGCCAGGCCCCTTCCGCCAAATTGCAGACCCCTGAGTAATCCCCTCCAAGTGAACGTTCAGCCTAGGCTTGCATACCCCCGTGGATGGAGAGCTCGCTTCTTCCCTAACCAGTCCGTTCCAACAAAGATTCTAGCCATTCGGAGACTTTTTCTCAGGTCTAGCGAAATGGATGCCCTTTAAGTTCTACAACTGCCCCAGTCTTACAGAGCCTGAAGTTCTCCGCGCCCCGCCACGCCCTGCAGACTGTTGTGTCCTCTCCAAGCTGCTGTGCCTCCGACTCCTACGGCTATACCTCGTGGGGCCGCTGGGAGATGGGGCGGGGGGCGAAGTACAGGATCTGAGCGGAACGCGCCCTCGAAGGCCCCTGATACCAGCGTGAGGGCAGGAGATCTGAGAGGGGGTCGGTCATTCACACTTGGGGCTCAAAGGTCCACTTGTTCCAGTCACTCCCAAGGGGCGGTTATAGGGTCAGCCCCGGGTTCCAAACATGCTGAGGGGACGAAAACGCGAGGAGAGAGAGTGGGACCTCGGCAAGCCCAGCTCAAGACTGGGGCCCACCTCCTTCAGTCACTGTTTTGCCCCCAGCACTTTAAGGGTTTCCCGCCCGCAGCAGCAGTCTGTTCTTCCCGCCACGCCCCGTCTTACTCACTCCCATCCGGATCAGATCGGCCCACTCTCAGCACTGTGCGTGTGCGAGTAGGGTGGAAAGATGAAAGGCAAGGCCCCAGGGCAGTTCTAGGGAGGGTCCAGCTTCTTCTCAAACCCGCTCCTTCCCATTAGCAGTTCTTCACCCACAACCTCACTTCTCTATCTTCACCGTTCATCTCTCCTAGCAAGAGATCAGGGGCCACTCCCTGGGTCCTGCAGAGTTCCCGGGGAGGGGCACCCAGTAACTTCATAACGCCCCGAGGCTTCAACTTCCCACCTTCCTTCCTCCTCAAAACCTGCCTTCACCCAGTCTCCTTTTTAATAAAGGATCCCTCTGGGTCCCAGGGAGCCAGGCTGACTGACAACAAATTCCATCTGGGAAGAAGAGGCATCCACGTTAGGAGGCAACAATTTCTGGCTTACCCTAAAGCATGCAGCTCTAATAGTCGACTTTCAGGCATGGATGGGGGAGCTTAGCTCCCCTTGAGAAGGGGTCCCCTTGTTCTCATCCCATTTATCTCATGGAACAGCCTGGCCCAAAGCCTCAGTCTCCACACCCCAGGGGTGTGCGGGCGTCCGGGAGCCTCCAGCTTCAGTCAGTCGCCGCGAGGCTGAGACCTCAGTCTCCGAATGCCCGGCAAAGACCACGCGGCGATGTAGTTGTCCGAGGGCAGGCGCGGAACGTAGCGGGAGCCAGCGCCTCCCGCACTCTGCTGACCGTGCACAGGCTGTCCTTGAGACGGGAATATCGGCTCCGGGGCGGAAGGGACAAAAGGAGGGGGTTGTTCCTCCGAAGAGTGGGAGAAAGAGGCCCCAGCCCCCAGCAGGCCGCTGGGAGATCTCTCATTAGGAGGGGACAACGGGCGGCCTTCAGTTGAAACGCGGAAGTGTTCGGGGAACAGGCTGGAAACGGCTTTTGCCCCGCAAACGCAGTTTTTATTTAGCTTGCCCGTTTCTGAGGATTGGCTCGGGAAGGGCTGATGACGATTATAGGGAAACTTCGCCTGACAAGTCACCCCCTGGCACTGCCCTCGACCCCCACGGTGCGCGCGGCTCCCTCGCCCCTGTAGCGGAGGACAAGACTGGACGCGAGAGGCGGGTGAGGCAAGGACAAGGGCGGGCCGGGCCGAGTTAGGGGCGGGGCCTGGCGCTAGGGGCGGGGCTCCCAGGCTCCCAGGCGGGGCCTCCTCTGAAGGCGCGGAGGACTCGGCTCCGAGAGCGCGGAGTAGAGCAGCGCCCACTAGAGAGAAGTGGAAGACGAAGATCGCACGGTCCCAGCCCGCCTGCCAGCGTCCACGCCGCTCCCACACCCTTACCCCTGCCGGCCCTTGCCGGACGCGACCGGCGGCCATGCAGCCCCGGGGCTGAGGCGGCCCCATGGCGAAACCCACGTCCCCGCGGTCCCGGCAACGACGGCGCATGGAGAACTTCCGTAAGGTGCGCTCCGAAGAGGCGCCGGTGGGGAACGGAGCCGAGGGAGGCGGCCCAGGCTCCGGCCCCTTCGCGGACCTGGCGCCGGACGCCGTGCACATGCGGGTCAAGGAGGGCAGCAAGATCCGGAACCTGCTGGCCTTCGCCACCACCAGCATGGCGCAGCCAGCCACGCGCGCCATCGTCTTCAGCGGCTGTGGTCGGGCCACCACCAAGACCGTCACGTGCGCTGAGATCCTCAAGCGCCGCCTGGCGGGCCTGCATCAGGTCACGCGGCTGCGCTACCGGAGCGTGCGTGAGGTATGGCAGAGCCTCCAGCCGGAGCCCACGCCGGGTCAGAAGCCTGGCGAACCAGCCGCCAGTCTCAGTGTACTTAAGAACGTGCCCAGCCTCGCCATCCTACTTTCCAAGGATGCGCTGGATCCGGGCCAACCCGGCTACCAGCCCCCGAACCCCTATCCTGGCCCCTCGTCCCAGCCAACAGCGCCGACGACATCTAAGAGGAGTCTAGGGGAACCCGCAGCTGGAGAAGGCTGCGCAAAGAGGTCACAACCTGAACCAGGTGCTGCGGAAGAGGACCGGACGGCCTGAGAACTGCGGCATCTGAGCCACCTAAGCCACCTAGGCAGGCTCGATCCTACTTCCAGAGCATCCACCTTGACACACACCTTCAGCCTTTCATGACTTGGTACTCTGGAGCCCACAGCCTGAACTCAGCTCTTCTGACTGGCCGCATGGACCCCACGGAGACAAGAGAGGGACCCCAGGGAAGTTTCGTGGTGTGGTTGCTCCCCCACCTGTGTTGCCTGATGACACAGAACTCCGCCTTCAGCTTTTCGGAACCATAGGGAACCTTCTTCCAGGAGGGAATGGTGGGCAGCGGGACTCTTGAGCCTTGCTCAGGACCCCCAAGGGTAAAGGCACCCAGGATTCACGAGGGGGGGCCTGCAGTGTGGAAGCTGAAGAGAGCTCTTGGAATCATTCCACCGGTGTTGGTGGAGGGCAAAGGTTCAGAAACCACTGCTGGAAGGCAGAGGATTCTGAATTGTTGTGGGAGGGGTGGCTTATTCTGCCCTTCACCATAGGACACAGTTTCCTTTCTAGTTCTCCATTCCCTGCTTTTAAGGAGCATCCTGAGATCGTGGTGGCAGGGGCATTTCCATGAGCTCTAGCTCTTTCAACATCCCCCTTTCCCCATGCTGGCCCAGAGGGAGAGATCCAGGACCGAACTCTCCATGCCTCCTCCCCTGAGCAGTCTTGCTTCCAATAAAACAAACACAAAAATGGCTCTGTCCCCAGGTTTTTTTCTAACCACTTGCCTGTACAGAGACTGCTCTGGCCTGCCCCCTTGTGTCTCAGTCCTCTCCAGCCTGGAATGCTTAGCCTTTGGAGTCCTCAGGGTCAGAAACCGGACAGCTTCAAAATGGTGCAGGGAGCATGCTGCCAAGTCCCTGGCTTCTCCCTTTCTCAGCCCTCCCTGGCTGGCTATAGCCTCGGGGGCTTGTGGCCAGAAAGAGACCTTTGTCTGCTTATGCATTACCGCTGAGGGAAGAGAGCAGCACATTGCTTTTCTAGAAGGGGAAGGAAAGCGAGCATCAATGAACTCTCCTAGGGGTCACTGCCAAGGGTGGCAGACCCTACTGGGGTCCCTAAACCTGCAACCTCCTGCCTATAGACAGCCTTATCCAGAAGGCTGGCACAGAGCACTGCCTCCCCATGGATAGGATCTCCCCTTCACTGCTCTCTCTGAGAAAGGACAACACACCCTTGGGAGAGGGGGAGGGAGGAGAGAGACTAAGCACAAATCCACTGCTGGAAATTACTATTCAGCAGAGAAGCTGAAACTTGGGCTGTGAATCACTGCAGCCTCCCTGATAAGCTGCTGCCTCTAGCCCTGCACAGCTGTCTGTTGAGAGATAACAGCCTTATAAGCCTTTCTGCCCAACTCCAAATCAGGTGGGGGGGGTGGGCAGAGTGCTGTGTGCTGGAAGAACTCTAGCTGTGGAGGCGGGGGTGGGCACAGAGATCCAGGATCTCAGAAGCAGACCCTGCCCCATGCACACTTGACAGCACCCTTGGAAAGGAGGAGATGGGAAAGAATGTAAGTCACTTTATAGGCAGAAACCTGAAATAAATCCTTCTGCTGGTGACAAGAGGTAGGTTTCTGCAGCTGACAGAAGGGGCACTTCAGGGAGTCCACCCCCATCTCTGCTTGAGCTTTGGATCGGTGAGCGCTGTCATACAGGCTCTGGCACTAGTTGCCCTCCCCAATTTCTTGTTCTTGATGAGTCCCTGGGGGAGGGCCAAGGGGTTTGAGTGTGCTTGTCTGACCTCTCAGGGTGGCCCAAGAAGTGTGGAGAGAATGTAAACTATCCTGACAACTAAGGTGCCCTGGGCTGGTCCTGGGCTTCTGCATCCAAAGTAAATGATAAAATTTGGAAAAGGTCCTGTATGGTAGAATCTTAAGAGAGACTGGTCTTTTTTTTTTTTTAACTTTTTT